CAGCCCAGCTGGGGGAACCTCGCGCTGCGGCCGCGGGAGGGAGGTGAGCACCGTGCTCCTACACGTACTCCCAGCTTAGCACACAGAGGGCTCAGTTAATAAATAAGTGCACATCCAAGGATGAACAACATGAAGGGGTTGGGGCTGTCTTTTCTAAAGCCGAACTGCAGCATAAACTCAGAATACCTTAGAGTGCTGCTATAAGACAGCAGTGAAACAGCTCTGCCACATCCTCAACAGACACTTTCATTTAGAAGTCCTCCAGAATAGTGGAAAAGTGGCCCCTAACTTGTAGAAGAGCAACTGCCCAAGCCCAAGGAATGGAAAGGCTTCCCGCTGAGAAAGCAACCGCCGAGTCATTAACTCACAGTAAAATTTGGGAGGAGTGGGAGGGAAATAAAAGAAAACATAAGGGACATAATAAAAACAGAGCCTAACTAACAGTGAAACAGTACCAATGAGTCAAAACCAAAGCTTAATAATAAAAAAAGATCCCCCAAATCTTCAGACAGGCCTTCAGGGAACCAGCAAGAGATGAAAGGGATTGGAAAGGAGCACAGTCCACAGCTTCCAATCTTGTAACCATAATGAGTGGCTGGAGCAGAGGGGGGGGGAAATACTGAGGAACTTACACCAATAAATGAACGTGTAATTTACTTTCTAAAATTCACACCCAGAGGCACAAGAGGCCCCTACAAAAAGCACAACATGGGAAAGGAGCCCATACAGCAGCTGCAGAAGAGCATTTCACTCAAGAACATACAAGCAGGACAAGAGGTTATCATTTCAAGCTAGAGAAGGGTATATTGGAGTTGGACATTAGGAAAGAGTTTTTTAACATGAGGGGAGTAGGTCAGTGCAAGAGGTTTTAGAGCATAGTGGGGGCCCTGTCCCTAGAGACTTTCAAGGACAGGCTTAAAAGGGCTCTGAGCAACCTCTTCTGATGTGAGATGTCCCTGCTTATTTTAACAGGGTTAGACTAAAACACCTTAGAGGAAAATAGTCTGTGATTCCATGTATTGTGAAATTTTTTAGCACTGCATTTGTTAGTGCTCATGCCACATACACATTTTTATACTTAAAAACAGCAAGAATTTTTTTTTTAAATTAAAGTCTTAGAAGCAACAAATCAGGATAAAAGCTTTTTACTGCAGTAATTCTGATCCACCCAAAGGCAAAGGTCACACATAAGATTGAGTGGCCACAGCTTATTTCTACTCCTTTCACAGTTATCTGCATCTGACAACTTCCTTTAAGTTTTTATTCAAACAGCATGTAATTTGTAATCAATGATAAAAGCATCAGATACTACAGGAATTCACATGAATAGAAACCAGTACATTTAAAAACAGAACACAATCATACTGTAAATTATCTTTTCTTGTGACCAACTACTGGCATTTACAGGACAAAGTCTTTGCCTTCTAGGAACACAAGTACCTTTTTTTTTCTTGTAATAAGCTATGGACATTTGATTTCCTCATTTTTATTAGAATTCCAAGATCAATACATAATACTTAACTTGAAATTCAGAAAAATGTACAAGTAAATACTTGGCCATTCAGCAGCCCTAAGTTGACAACACCAATCACATCTAGCTTCCCACCCCTCCCTGACAGCACAGATGGAAGCCCCCTCCTCTTTTCCCCCATACAGCTTAACCAATCAAGTTCTAACACAAGTTTTGCCTTTCAGATTTAAAGCAAGAGAACTAAAGGCAAATATTAACATGGGATTCTCAAGCTAAAGCCACAGACTGACATAAAAAACATCTTGACATTCTTGACTCCTTTTCTGCAGTCACGAAAATAACATTATCTTTCTAACAGCATCATCTTACTTCTCCTTAATCATATACATTGAATCCAGTAGCATTTTACCTTGTATTTTCCATTTTTTTTTATCCTCACATTCATTGTGAGAAACATGAGGACTGGATGGTATATTTCAGAAAAATATTGTAGAGTCCATATCAGTTAATAAAGCATAATTTATCACCAGGTGACTAAAAGCACCATTCATTAACATTTCATACTGTAATTTGCAGAGACTAAAATCTAATTAAATCTCTCTCCTCCTGTTTGCTTTTCCCCAGATGCTGTAATGTAAGTGTAGCAGCAGTCTGTTAATGCAAATACTTAGAGCCTTACCTGCTCCATTTCCACCAGCATTGCAGGCCTTGCCGCAAACTATAGAAGTAACAGCCTAGGAAGTTATTGCAGTCCAGCCACACATAGATCCCTTTGTCTGCTCTTGCCTGTAGAGAGCACATTGACTGGAGGCAGCAATAGCTCAGCTGACCTTTGGAACCAAAATGCTAATCCAAACCTGTGTCACATGTGGCCCGGAATCCTGTTGAGCTTTTGGTTTACTCTCAGTGGTGCCCTTTAAGCACCCCAGTACCAACCTCAATTTTTACTTCATAACAGCCAGCATGAGCAAGTGCAGCCATTGTGTGTATAAAATTTATTCAAAGCACTGACACTGGGTCTCATGCTGTCTCCCTTCTCAAGGAAACCAGAGGAAGGCTCTTACTAGGTCAGCCAGGTTGAAGATTCTGGCTACTTCTCATTTTGCATTTAAACTAACTTGCTACAAAACAATAGATGGGATGATTAGAAAATTTCTTGACAAATCATATTTAAGAAAGCAACTTATGCTGCACAAAAAACAAAGCTCTTGATTCTTACAGCAAATACTTAAAGGGTTCAAGGTTCCAATTTTTACTACTCATTTCAGATGTGTATAGAATTGGCAAAGTTGCTTAGATTGAGGTTGACACAAAGCACTCCTAATTTCCCCTTTCCTTCTCTCCACCCAGGTTGTATATCACCCAGATTTCTAGTTAGCCTATATTCTTGTCAAGTCAGACAAATGCTCATGTCCTGTACGGTTTCTTTTTACTCCATTTTTGTCTTTCAAACAAGAAAAGCTCTCTTTTTCTCTATCATGACAGAACACCCCAGTATTAACATCTTTCAGCAGCTTCTGTTAAAATATTATTAAAATAAGCCTCAACAATTCAGGCAAACAGCTAAATTCAAATTGAAGTATTTATCCATATAAACACCAGTAGTTAAGCCTCATTCTCACTTTTCAGAAGTTCAAGTACTCCAACAGATACACCAAGGTAACATTAAGAGACAAGACCTAGCAATTCCTCTCCCCAAACTCAGTATGCACTTTTGTTACCTCATTTCCCAGGTTTTCCTTGTTCACTGCAGGCTTGTCCTGTCAGTACAGCTGGCAAAGCATTTCACATGCTAAGCTGTGGGTACTGTCCCTCTGCAACACCATTTGCAGGACAACTGAAGATGCATGAAGAACAGAGCTCCACATGTCACTTAAGTTCCTGCCTTTACTTTTGTATTAAGACCAGCTCACAGAAATTGAGAGGATAGGGGAACTGCATGTTTTAGATATTGTACAGTTCAGCTAAATAATTTCTGTAGCAGAGAATACACAGGCTTTCAGGGTGGACTGACATTGCACTTTGTTGTTTAAATTGAACACTAGTACTAAGAATTTAAGGGCAAGTATTCTAGTTAATTTCCTTTTTGTTTTTATCCCTGTTCTGTGAAAGAAATAGACAAAGTCGTGTATTTAATATTTTTATTTTGCTAAAATATTCATTTTAGATGCCGTTAAACCCATCTCCACCTTGCCAAAATTCAAGTCTGTACAATGAAAGCATGCATAGTGGGTACAAAGACATTTAAGAATTTGTCAAGCACAGTATCAATAAAAAAGACATTTCTCTTAAGACAGTGATCTTAGCCATAGTATGCAAACATGCAGGCAGACTGAGTCAAATGGAATTTGACCTGAAAATTCTCTTCTAAAGACAACAGCTGCAATACTTACCCCCAGAATTTAATTTAGCATATCCTGAATACAGATCTCATTAAGAGTATTGAGACTAACTGCACAGTTTTATTGTCTACATTGGTTCTATACTGCATAGGCTACAGAGGAATAAGTGTCTCTAGGCAGCATTCCTGCCATTGGTATGAAAACAATTATGAAGAGCAAAAGTAATATAGCATAGAAGAGTAAACATGAGAGAAAACACCATCTTTTATTAAGTCATATTTCATTTGTCATGCTTACTCTACAGGGGTTTTCTGAAAACTACCCTGCTCTGACCAAAACTAGTCTGCTACAGCATGTAAGTATTGAGACAGTGCACACTTTGAAGTTCAATATTGCAAAAAGGTTACCAGGAGTCTGGAACATACGTTCACCTCTGGCTTCTCAATAAGACTATGACCTAGAGTAGTTTCTCTCACAACAAGTAATTTTACACCATTTATCCAGTACTCATGATTATAAACAACATCCAAGTTCTCCTAGAACAAGTAGTCTGCTGAAGTCTTCTTCAGGCCATTCATTTATTGGCGAGTTCTGGTATTTTAAATACTAAGACGAAATTACATTTTATTCTTATCACCTGCAATGGAAAAACCTTACTAAGTTTGGGTTTTTCATTACTGCTCCCACCACACTGAGTAATCATTTGTCTGCTGGGGCAAGAAGGCACTAGACTACACAAACAGGCAAGCCGGAATTACATACCCTGGAAAATACTCTAAAATTAAGGTCTGGGTGAGGTACCCTCCCCATGCTCCCTCCTATAGCACTTCCCTTTGTGCATCCCAGCGCTCTTGCCATCTTTGCCTCCATCCCATCATTTGCAGGCCATTTGCATCTTACCATGATACCTACAGCATTTTCATGTCCTGCCAGGTGGCATCTGAAGAAGCAGGGCTCAGACCTCTGCCTGAGCCACTTTTACTCTTGCCACCTGTGCAGTAGTCACTGTCCATCCCCTGGTGGGCTACCACATCTAAGCAGTATGACAGAAGGGAAGTTGTAGGTGATGAACCAAAAGAAAACCAAGTTCACATCTTGCAAGATAATGCAAACCAGCTAATGCTCTGTAACCCACTCCTTCCTCTTCCTCCCTACCAAATACTCTGTTGTCTGACCTGACCTAGCACCTGCTCAGGTCAGGTGAGAAGAAACTGAGCTGTAAAGTGCCATAGCAATGAGTGCACTGCTAGTGACTCATCAACACAGCCTTCCAATATCTGTTATCAAACTGACAAGCAATGCCATTCTCCTTCCATCCCCAAAAGCAGCAGGCTATGCATGACTGTCATACCCTCTTTTGCCAAGTATAAGTGGTACAAGGACCTAGTTATATCAACATCTGAACTTACCTTCTTTTAAAGGAGTTTTTGGAGGAATATTTTCCTTGCTATCATGCTGGAAAGCTTTGGTAGGATCAAAACGCCTAATGCCCTGAATGGAATATAGCTGCTCCTGAAGGTCTCTGCTGCTTGCCTTCTCTTTTGCTAGCAGTGCACGCAGTTTGGAGACATCCTAAAGAAAATATAATACTAGCAAGGTAGCTAAAGAACAGGAGAAAAGCCTGCTTTATCATTTCATTAAGTAGCCTTTTTTAATAATGCTGAACACAGACCTACATAATTATCAGTGCCATTAACTAACAAACCCAAGCCTAACAAACACATACAGAAAGCACTACTGTATAACATCAAGAAGGATGGTAGCCTGAAACTATCAATGGATAATTCTATAAATCAAAGCCTTCAAAATCCCTAGGAAAAAGCAAGCAAGCTAAAATTAGGGGTATTTGCACTGGTGATCCCTCTGTCTATCATTCAGTTAAAACAGAACCAATTATCTTATTGTTTCTGGAGGCTGGTGAGTTTTTCCAATCTGGCTCCTGCAGGAAACTTAACCATAAAAAGCTAATCTCTTACAGGATTACTCCATTTTAGAACAAAAATCAATCAAGGAAACTTGATTGACTTTATCTAACAAACCTGCTTCAGGTGTGTATTCTCTTCCTTCAACTTCATTACATGCTTGATTTTTTGCTTCTGGTTCTGGTGGCCAAGTAGTTTAGCATATGCATCACTCAGTTTATTCAGTTCCTCTTGGGCTGCACCATGCTCATTTAAAAGTGCATTTTTCTCGGCTTCAAATGCATCTAGTTGTTGCTGAAATACATAGAGTCTTTCAGACATCTTTAAATTAAATATAACTTTTTACTGAACTGAAATTAACAAAGAGACTGGTTTGGGGATACTTTGCTCAAGGGATAGTATCTTAGAAAACCACTGCAGGATAACTGACTTACAATGGAAAATACAATGTTTAACTCTCAAGAGTAGAACTTGAGTCAACTGCATGTCTATTCCATAACACACCTGAAAAGGTTTAGCTTTATTATGCAAATCTTCATATAGATTACGCCAGGTCTTTATCTCTTCTTTCAAGCTGGAGGTGACATCTTCATCTATGGTTTTCCTAAAAAAGAAAAGTGAAGTTTCATCATGTTCACTGTGAGCTCTCAGTACTTCTTCACACTAAAACATGCATGTGCTATAACAGGTCGGTTTGAGCAAAGTCACCTTGATCTTTCCACTTTGAGTTCTCTTTTCAGATGTTCAGTTTGCTCTTCAAGTTCTTCCTGAAGTTTAGTCACTTGAGCAAAATAAGACTCTTTTGTTCTCTCTATTTCTGCTTCTTTTAGTGCAAGCTTTGTCTGGAGTTCTAGAAGCATCCTGAAACAATACAATCCATCCTTAATGAGCCTTGCATATTTTTTCCACTACTCTACATCTGAACACACAAGTTACTATCATTGAAAAGCTGTGAGTCTAAAAACTGAAATCAAGGTTTGTGTCAACAGTGCTACAATAACAAAACATAATCAAGTCCAAGAGATACAACAATTTACTTCTCCTATGAGGAAACAGGCAGTGGTTTTGAAGCAAGGAAAGATTATGGTTTATGTCTGGTTGTTTATTGGCAGCAGGTTCTAGTGGCAAACTATTTTAGTAGTTAGACTTCACATGCAGAAGTCTGCTTAAGCAGAATTTAATAATGACTGCTGAGTGTGGATGTATTTGTGGGCTCTAGAACTGTATCACTTGGGTGGAGACTAAGAACTCCTTCCCTGTCACACAAACATCGAAGCTAACAGGAAATAGCTTCAGCTGTTTTTCTTTTACTAGCTCAAATGGAAACCAGTGGCAATATTAAGCAGGTGGAAAGGAAGCAAAAAAGCAGTCCAAGTCTATTAAGACAATGGACAATTACAATATACTGGCTATATTTAACTAGTCAGCCAATAGAGTTGGGTAAGTCAGGAATGCGGTTAATACCGGGTGACTTAAAACCAGCTTCAACTTCAAAAACTGGCTAGTAACTAGATAAAAAAAGAGGAAGGATACCTTACAGCACATAGACAGTATGTTCTGGCATGCAATTCATGCTCAGTCAGTTACCACAGCTGCCTAATACAGTTGAGTTAACACTGGGACTGCACACTGTACCCTGGAGAAAACCCAACTCCCCTTTTTCTTCAGATCAGTTACTTGCCTACAATGACCTTTCTCACGCTCTGTGTGGTGAGCTAGAAGGAAAACCATATAGCCTGAAGCTGCTGACAGAGAAATATCCTTAGCTAGTGGCCCAGGACAACCCCTTGGGTACTACTACTGACCAGCAGACTATGGTGCTTCAGATTAGCAGAGAGGACTTCGTTTACCTCATTGCAGCATGGGCACTCAGGGATGGTCAACTGCCATCTGCTTTTGAGCTTGATTTGAGGTGACATGATTCAGAGCAGCACAACCTGAGCTCTACAGTAATTATTTGTCTGCTTTTGAAGCAGTCACTGTAACCCAAAACAATATACCAATGTATTTCAGTTAAGCATTTTCCTTTTCCTATACGTTCTACATAGAGGAAGAAGTTGAAGCAATTGAATACACCAATTTTGCAGTGCATACATATACATTAATTAATTTTGTCTGTCAATATTTTGAACCTTCTATGCTGAGAACATTAAGAAACTTAAGCTTACACCAAATAATGCATTTATCTGGTAGAGCATCATGGTATGGTATAGTTAAGAAAGCAACAGTTAGCTGGTATTCTTTAGCTTAAGTATACATTTGTATATCTAGCACCTTGCACATTCTTCTTTTGCCTTATTTTTCGTGTGTTCCGCTTCCTGAAGCAGCTTTAGATTATCTTCGCCTGTTTTTTTTAGGTTGGCAACTTCTTCTTGCAGAGAGGTCTTCTCCAGTTTAAGACTGTGTATTTCTTCAGATATGGTCTTTTTGTACCTGGTATTACAAAGCAAATAAAAACATTGTTTCTTCAGACAGAAGGCAGATTGATATGTTCAGGCCTTACTAGACCAATACAAGCTTACATTAAGAAGTCTAAGAGTTCTTTATGATTTAGAGATATGGTAGTATTCTGACAGATGAACTCTTACGTTCAAAAAAACATCTTTGTCATAAAATCATAAGCAGTAACATTACAATTAATTTTGCAACGTAGACATTTTGACATTTTGGTAAATTTTTAAACCTAAGAGACCTGCTACAATTGAAGCCTATTTTCAATACCAAAAAGGTCTGCTTAATGAAACTTTCATTGGCAAATATCCCACCAGATTCTTCCCGAGTCCCTTGCATAGTTCACAATAATAGTCTCACTTTTTAAATTCTTCCACAAGATCAGTATTTTAGGCAAGATCTGCAGGCAAATCATCTTGATTAAGTGCAAGTTTGGAGTCCAAACAAGAACTATTTTAACAAGAGATTTTAGTGCAAAAAACCCAACATCACTAGTTACAACACCCATGGATTTTCAAGAACACTTGATTATTCTAATTTGCCACACTTGGAAAGAAAAAAATATTCAATTTCCTGAGTTAGATACTGAGTATGCAATTACACTTGACTAGCACTCAGAAATAGTAAATCAATTTCCTTATGCTATCAATTACTCCATAAAAAAATCCTCTTCTCCAGCACTGCACCAATACTGACATACAGTTTTGAGTACTCAGGCACATGAATAAACAGCATATTTTCTTGTAATCCCTCTACTACAATTTAATGAAGCTTGAATACCTTTCAAACTCAGCAACAGTCTCTCCCAGTTTACACAATGTATTGCTGTGCTGTTCTTGGATTTGCAAAACAGCATTACTGTGCATTTCCTTGATTTGCTCCAACTCTGCATTCTTCCTGAAAGAAAAATTGAGCATTCCACACTAGAAATAACTGTCTGAACACACTATCAAATGCTGTTATCAGGCACAGAAGACTCGGAGTGGCAGCAGTTGCTATCAACCAGTAACTTCTGACACAACTTCTGTAGTATTAAAGCACAACGTTCATAGCATATTTTACTAGGCATTTCCCCTTTTTCTTATTTTCCAAGGTAGCTATGGAACAGATGGAACATGTAATAAATTTCAGAAATATAAAATGAAAAAACAGCTTGCTTGAAAATCTTCCCTAGTCCTCTCCAAGACAGACACATGCCATAATATGTACCTTACCCTTCCCAGCAACAGTATCAGCATTTCAAGCAAGCGTCACCATGCTGATAAAACACTGACATTAAAACAAAATACAATTTTTTCAAGTTACACTGCTGGATTAGATCTAATCACTATCAATCAATAACCAGCAAGAAATATATTGACAGCTGTTCAGGTCTCTTTAAAACCTGAATTAGGAAGAGAAGCTTTGTTCATGCTACTGAACTAGCATTTTTCCTTTGAGAGCTTTAGAATTAAATTTGATTCCACAAACCCTTTCAGCTCTTCTTCCATCTGTTGAAGTTCAAGAGCTTGAGATTTGATTTCTTGTTCCAATCGCTTCACCAGCTTCTCAGCTTTCTTCTCCTTAGCATGTAATTGATTCAGCTCATTCATTGTATCATTCAGCTCTTCTTCAAGAAAGTGTCTCTCACGTGTCACCTCATCTTGAAACTCTTGTAACTTCTGGTTCATGGATGCAGATGACTCCTGCATGCCAAAGTGTCACAAATACAGAAACTAGTACTTTTTTAGATATTAAAGACTATTTTACATTGTTTGCACTTTAAAGCACAATAATAAGATCAAACCTAAAGGAAGGACCAAAGCTACAATGCTCAGAGGTATTGGACCACACAGTTCCTGCCAACCAGCACCCACTTGTACCTTCTACAGATCAGAGGATTGTTAATGCAGCAGTCTTACAGGTAATAAAAACCTTAACTTTTAGCACCAGTTGTTGGGATTAGTCTATTTTTCCACTAATCTATAGTCGATATTTACCTTCTCTTGCTGCAGCTGAGACACCATCTCTTCATGTTTCTGAAGTAGTGTTTGGTGCTTTTGTTCTTCCAAGCTAATTCTTTTTTTCAGGTCATCTAATTCAGCATTCATACTCAGGAATTTTCCTCTGCTCTCAGACAATTCTTTCTCTGCGTGGAGGAATTGTCAATATAATACAAATGCTGTTCTCTATCCTCAAAGAGCTAGACACCTACTTTTCATGGTACTACTCTTCCAGCTTTAAAGTTACATTAGGCACGGGAAAAAACCCAACAAACCTAACCCCATCTTGAAACTGTTTGTAAATTCTTCAACATTCTTTGAGTACAACACTTCAAAAATCACCTTAACAGCAGCCATCTTTGGGTCAAGGAATTAGCCTTCAAAATTATCTCAATGAACTTGTGCAGAAGCTGCTCACAATAGGTTGAGACTGCTTCTCAGTGAAGAATAAGCACCAAATTTCTTAACTACCCACGGAATTCCAAATTTAGACAACTGATGTCAGATTCAAGGTAGTTTCCATACTTTTTGAAAAATGCCTAGCTGGTTTCAGCTGGAGCTCAGAGACATGACTTCACTTGGAACAAACCTGTCTAAAAGGACATTTTTGAACAAACCTATTTGAGATGCTTCAAGGCACATCAGTGATACCACATACGTGAACAGCAGAATATCGCACTAGCATTTACCTTTTTCTTGTTCAAGCAATTGACACTTTTCATTAAGTTCTTGTATCAGTTGAAGTGATTCTTCCTCTTTTGTTTTGAGCTTCTCAGTCAGGATCCTGATATCTTGGTCTTTCTTTCTGAGTGTCTCCTCCATCTGGGCAACATCTAGTTTGTATTTCTCAACTGTATCTGCAACAGTGCTACAAGAGAAAACTCAGGTATTTCTTGCCACTGAATTTCTCTGAAAGCTTGTACTTCAATACTAAGGAACAATGCTTAGGACTGTTGTCTCCCAACTGGGAAACTGCCTTCACCTGCCTTCCCCGACAAGTTTTTGCACAATAAGACATTTTCATTAAAAGTAAAAGATATTTTTTCAACAATGATGCTTTATTTTAAGAAACCAATGCAATCACACAACATTATGGCTTGATGAAAAAAAGAATTAGTCACCAGAATTCCTTTAGGTGACTGCTACACCCTTTGTTTTTTTACTTAGTTTAGTTTTGACAGCAAATACACATGAATAAACCAAGTTAGACAAGAACTAACAGAATCTTAAGGTACATGGCTAGTTAATGAGTAAATTGACAGTGGTGTTGGGGGATTAAAAGTGACCTAGTTAATTTTAAGTACTGTTTGTATTTTCACCCTATTCTGAGCTAGGGACATATTACTGTGAAGAATGGTTAGTTGCTATCAGTTACCAAGGACTGGAATAGTAATTTTTAGAATCGGACCAATTCTTACACACACATCATTGATCCCAAATCAAGTGCAAATCTGAGTACTGTAAATTTCATAGGAAGCCAAAACTTCGAGGTTTTTATGCCCTACTGTGCATTATTTCACGTACGAGGACTAAAAACCATTACTACCAGTACCTTAGAGGAAACAGGTTTAGTTTGATTTGTGTATAAATAATTGAGACTGAAAACATGCTTTTGGGACCCTTATACAAAACTTTTCCAGAGTATTGCTTAGCCCAGAAAAGCAGAGATATTAAGAAAGATAATTTTAATTATCTTATTACTCTTAGCTATTGAGTGGTTTCTTGTCCCTCTTCTATTTGAGCACTGATAAACAGAATTGATGGCAAGGTTCTACTTCAGTCATAAACAAGGCTTAGTTTTACTGCCCTTTAGCTCACATAAACCAATTCAAGTAACTTTTTACCTGAGCTCTGTGATATATTCCAGGAGTTTTTCGGTGTCAGACTTTTCTTCAACTTTCTCTCTCTCAGAAGCAGATCTAAAACCAAGACATTTTCACAATGGTTATATTTTAAAAAATTAAGAGCTAATTGTGACCTATTTGTTTACAGGTAAACAAGTAGAAATAAAACCTCATTCCTTAGTAGTACTACATACTTGTCATAATCCCATTTGTCAGATAAACTGGTGTCAGCTCTAGGAGGTGAATCTAACTTGTTTTGATACTTGCTCCACATTGTCTTGTCATTGGCAGTAAAGATGCTGAGCCATACTCTGCCACAAGCAAGTATTCTAGAGCAGGTAGACTAGCTAGACAAAATATCATTGCCTCCCTTTGTCATACCTGCATCCTTAGCTTTGTGTATTTAAATTTAACTATAACAACTCTGCTCATATTTGAGCACTTGGCTGTTAAGTAAATGCAGAGCGCATAACAGGGATGATACAGTGCTGATCATGCTAAACTTATGTCAAAATTTAACTTGAATTTGACCCTTATGTTGACATACTCAGAAATAGTATTTAAGTTAGTTCACTGCTCCTGTGCAGCAAGTTGCATTATTTGGGATGAACAGAGACTGTTGATTTGTAACTCCTTACATGGAGCTCCTTCTGCCAAGACACTGCAGTTGCCTTTCTTCAAACAAGGTGGCTACTGTGAAGTAACTTGGAAGGCACAAGATCTGCTCTGCAGTACACTTAACTGGAGAACACACAAGTGATAGTCAAATCTGAATCCAGTGCTGAGTTCTAACTGAGTTAGAATTTAAACTCGTGATCCAACACTTCTTTCCTCATTTGTTCCTAACTTCATAGGCCAGACACTGAAACATCCAGTCTATATGAACATCTTGCTCCAAGATACACAACCATTCTTTTCTTGTTATACATGTCGTCCTATCCCACACCCAAGCAAACCCCACCAATGCCACAATGGAAGACTAAAGGTTGAAATGATTTGCTTTTTTAATGGAAAAAGGTTAAGCACATTAGAGGAACAATGTTAATTTTCTAATAACACAGCAGTTTCTGAAGCTTTATTCCATTGAACTTATTCCAAAACACCATACAAATAATTTCTGTCCCTTGGCATTTGGGAGACACCCTCTATTTTTCCAAAACTACATGCTTACTTTACATTATAGGCATGTAAGCACAGCTTAGAAGGTCATCAATAAAAGGCCACCTAAGTAAACTGCATTCCTAATTACTTACAGTTTTTCTTCTAATTGTGCAACTTTTCCTTTTGAATGCTCTAGATTCCTTTGTACTTCCTGCAGCTTCATTTCCATGTTTTCCTGCTTTGCAAGTGCAGTCTTTGAAAAAAAAATTAATACCATAAAAATGAGATTTATTAAGAAATATCTTTTGTCCAAGAGACAGAAAAACAAATTAAAACAAACAAATTAAATAATACTGTAGTTAATGCTAGCACTTGCTAGTATGCTAAGTGTGATTCAAAGTACCCCAGATACCAACCATCTGTTAAAACAACCACCACCTGAAAAACACCAACATGCATAAAAGCTTCAAACTATACTTAGGACCACTGACTTAAAGAAATTAATAGTAGTACCAAGACTGATATTGTAATAAAATTATTTCTAAGCTTTCTTACATGAACTCAGATATACTCATCAAAAGAAAGAAAATCTCATCTTTCTTTCTTATTTTCACTCTACAGAATCTAGAGTTAAGGACAGCAACAAATCACTACATGCAGTTCCACTGTAAGCCCTGCCTTGCCTGTGCCTGAAGAGCTCAGAACTACTATCCTGTGCAGTGCAAATGGTCATACCTTTTCTCTAGCATCCCTCTTGTTTCTGAGCTTCATTAACTCCATGCACAGGCTGCTCATTTTCTTCTGCACACCATCTTCAGACAGCTGTTTAGAGATGAATACAAAACCTCTATGCATAACTCCTTCTTAAGAATTACTCATCATAACATTTTAGCAGCATCCCTGTCCCACCCATAACACTCTGCCCATTCTTGAGATGATGTTAGCAGGTCTGCTTCTGCCATGAGACAGAAGCACACAAGATCCCAAACCAGATGTGCTCTATCCTGTGGCAATGACGGGGTACAGAAGATGTGCAATATGCTAATCAGCAGCTAAAGCTTCCTCCTGCCCACAGAGCTTAACAGCAGCAAAGGTAAAGCAAATACATGTTTGTTCAATTACCTTTGACTTGAGTAATTCATTGGTTCTTGTTAGTTCCAGAAGCTGTTTTTTTAGGCAAGCAACATTTGCCAAGAGAGAGGTTTTTTCCTGAACTGCAGCATTCAGCTTTGCTTCTGTCTTCACAAGGTCCTCATCCAAAGCTTGAAGCTTTTTATCCTGCTCTCCACGCTCTTGCACTAATGCACGAATCTAGAACAAGAGGTTTTTGCTTTATTTCCTATTATTTTTATTCTTAAACAACATCACTAATTAATGCCTGTTGTTTTATTGGAGAGGCTAAGAATTCAAACTGTATTATTTTCATTCAGAAAACATATCTTCAATACTGTCATGTACAGACAAGGAGATAACAGCATCACCACAATTCTCTATTATTACACACACAGATTCGCAGTCCTAGCATTTTATCTGCCTTATTTTATGCTACTAAGTCAACACAACATGTTAAAGTTGGAATAGTCTTTGCTTCAACTTGCAACAGAAGCCAACTCTCCTCTTTGGCTGTGGTACTCAAGGCATAAACTATTACACAAAAATTATATATTAAAACATGAACACAAAAACTTTTTAATTGTGTCAGTTAGTAAGCAAAAATTTCAGCAGTTAAATAGAACAGGGGTAGACAGCACAGAACCTCGGTTCTTCCTTTTTTAAAGAAATAGGCTGGCTGCATAGCTGCTCACTCGAAGTAGGAATAAATGTAATTCCATTAATAAATCAAAAGTTTTCTACACACCAAAGCATTTGATCATCTTTGCTGTGGACAAGCTGCTTGCAAATTACTTGCACGCTATATATGTAAGAGGCTAATTTTACCAGATTGTACTTTTTATTATCTTTAGTGGGCAACTTATTACAATATTGCATTCACATAATGTATTCATACCTCCTTTTCCAGTGCCTTCTGTTTCTTTTTCTCTTTCATAAGGATAATATCTTTTTTAGGCTTCAGATACCCATTAGCTGGCTATTAAAAACAGATGTATTAGAAATACTTAAACTCATCTCTAGATCTATACTAGCTTAACAACACAGTAAAACATAAGAATGGGTGCCTTCATATAGACAACACAGTTAAGATACAAATCAGAACAAACCACATTTCTTCCCCCACACAGGGCAGACAAGTCTCAGGTTAGGATTGGTTTTACTATTTTATTTTCTCAAAAATCATACTCTGAATGGACAGCTCATAAGCATTGTTATAGAAAGGAGATTAATAAAGTTTGAGACATAAATACTCCCTAGGCTCTATCTAAAACATTTTTATCCCTTAACCACAGCTTTATCTGCAGAATTTTGTCCTACATCATGATACCAGTAAACTTAACTAGTAACTCAGAGTTATAATTTTTCAGCTTAATAACCTGTGCATCTTAATGCCATGTCCTCATACATTGCACTTTTACTACTAGGTTTCTGCCCTGCCAACCTTATATCATCAAGAACAGGACTTTCTTAAGAAGAGGCAGTCATGCAAGATGCACCCAGTGTTGTAACACCAGAGGCAACAAAACACTCTGTTGTCATAACCAATCACCAGGTGACTCCCAAAAATGCTGCAATTACATTTTTCCTCATTAATTACTAAGAAACAAAAGCACAATCTAGTTTACCTATGTAGCTTAATAATAATTGTATAAAGAGGCTACATGATTTAGGTAATCACAGTGAGGTTTAGCTGGAACTGAACAATGCTACAGGCAGCACACAAGTCTTACTGTTGATCCGAGAGATGCCAGTCTCCTTCCAGCCACAGGAGTAGGTGCAGTCTTCTCACTGCTGAGACTTGTCTCACCTGCAGAAGGACATAGAAAAGAAAGGTGAAGGAAGAGGGTGTGCATACACACAGTGAGAGAAGTTTAACCAAACTAAACAAGGTTAATGGACTTGATACAAAAACCAGAATGCCTCCTGATAGTTAGACTATCCACAATCCAGTTTCCTTACTGAAGTCAGGCAGCTCAGTATTAGTCATCTGGGCATTTGACAGAGTTTATAGAGAGATCCCCAGATGACAGCCAGTTTAGAGAAATCAGCTTCTGCCAACTTTCCCCCCCACCAGTCAGATCCATGCTGTCAGTTTTTAACTAAGGGATGATTTACGTCTCAAAAACTCATTGAAATATCACTAAAAACAAGGTTAATGACAGTTAAATCATTTATTTGCTCTCCAGGGGTCCATCTAATTGGCCTAAGTCACATACAAAGGTATTTTCAGAAGATTCAGTTAAACATGTTTTTACAGCTGGTACCCTCTGGGGCTGGAAGATGGGTAGTGAGCCCCTACACCAGAAAACAATTGCTAAACAAGAATAGAGCAGCAACTGCATGTAAGCACTTGTAATTGTAGCATTCAAAGACACCATACTATTGTTGTTTTAGCAACTTTTAGAACTACTTACTGTTATGTTTCCTAACCCGCCGACGTGTTGCAGAGGACACAGAACTTTTCAGTGCATCTGAAGTTTTAACATCACAGGATGCTCGCAGGGGAGTATATACTAGAAGTGAGATATTCAGAACAGCAGACAACTATTCATGTTAATTACAGTGTTTTCAACTTCAACAAGTTGGTAACACATTTAAGGTAAAACATCTCAGAAAGCCCCAAACAGCCAATGACTTGAGTCTCAGTTCTTGTCATCCTCCCCATAAACATGAAGAGCAGACATAACACACATTGTGAGGAAAAGTGATGAATTATTAAACTGCTAGTGAAACCGGAAACTGTGATATACATATACAATATTGCAAGGCATCTTATTAAGTGTTAAAACATAAAAAGCAAAGTTAACTTCTTTCAAACATATTTCATTTTAGAAGTGATTTCTTAAACGCTATTTGATGCCAAGCTTTTTCTCCGAAGACCTAATAAGTTACTTAAAATCTTACTGAAAAGCTAATAGACAACAATAAAACACCCAAAAACTCTTCAGGCAATTATCATTATAGAGAGGGGGCCTCAAGCCCAGCAAATATTTATCTACTCACTTCATCTCTCTACAAACGAGAGCAGCTCCATTTACCGTCTGACCGCAGGACGGTGACAGAGAAGCACCCGGCTAAGCCAGAAATCTTTGTGCGAAACCACTGCGAGAAACCTGGACCCGCAGCCTTCAGCCGTGAGCAGCTCTGCACTCGTCCTGTTTGCTATCCCCGTATCGGCAGCCCAGCAAATCACTGTCTGTTACCATATATTATATATGTATAGATATTCTCAAGGCTACATCAGGCCTGTGTTCACCTACGAACAGTCCCTGAGGTAAAGCCGCTCTGCTGTTTCCTCACACGCAGACTCCTACACCGGGCGGCAGACCCACCCACCGCCTCACAGATGCACAGACACGAGAACCGGGGCGCCCTGAGGCCCCCCCAGCCGCCCTCCCGCCCCGAGCCCCCTGCGCGGGGCTGTGTCCCCCCCACGTACCCGCGGGCTCGTTGAAGCGGCGCAGCGGGGCCCTGGCGAAGGCCATGGCTGCACACACGGCCCTGCGCGCCGCCGCCTCAGCATTCAAAGGCACCACGCGCCGCGCGCAGCCCATCAGCGCCT